TTGAACCAGCTTACGTTCCCAGGTCAGTTTTCTATTGATACAGTAGCACTGAATGTTATAATTCAGTTAACTTTTGTCAATATGGTAGACTAAAAGTGCTATGTTCTTAATCATCTCTCTTTTGGGTTAACAGTACACTATTAATTTGTTATTAATAATTGTTCTATCTAACAAGCCCCTCTATGGTTTTGTGAGTTTGTAGTAAGCGTAGTTGTATTTGTTTTCTTTTTTTGAGATGGAGTCTCGCTATGTTGCCCAGGCTGGAGTGCAGTGGCGCGATCTCAGCTCACTGCACACTCCACCTCCCGGGTTCAAATGATTCTCCTGCCTCAGCCTCCTGAGTAGCTAAGACTACAGTCATGCACCACAATGCCTGGCTAATTTTTTGTATTTTTAGTAGAGAGGGGGGTTCACTGTGTTATCCAATCCAGGATGGTCTCGATCTCCTGACCACATGATCCACCCACCTCAGCCTCCCAAAGTGCTGTGATTACAGGCATGAGCCACCGTGCCTGACCAACATAGTTGTATTTCTTTTACATGCATAAGAGAAAGAGTTCTGAGCTGTTTTTGAGCCCTTCTAGACTCTCTTTTTTTTTTTTTAAGTAGGTGAGGTCTTGCTATGTTGCCAAGACTAACCTCAAACTCCTGGGCCCAAGTGATCCTCCCAAGCTGCTGCGACTACGGGCATGAACCACCATGCCCAACTTAGACTTTTATTGTGCTATCAAAAGGCAATTTTCTTTTCAGATTTCTGGGTAATAGTGTTAGAAAAATCCTGCTTGGTAGCCTTCAGAAATGGCATCATACTGAGTGATTTAGATATGAGATGGAAGAAAAGGTTAGAATTGGAGCAAATGTCCCCCTATCTCAAATGGTTTTTTGTTTGTTTTTTTTTTTTTTTTTTTTTTTTTGAGACGGAGTCTCGGTCTGTAGCCCAGGCTGGAGTGCAGTGGCGCAATCTCGGCTCACTGCAAGCTTGCGCCTCCCAGGTTCACATCATTCTCCTGCCTCAGCCTCCTGAGTAGCTGGGACCACAGGCGCCCGCCACTGCGCCCAGCTAATTTTCTGTATCAAATGTATTTTATCTCCATGTTGTTTCATAGTTTATTAATTTGAAGATGCTTTGTATGTCAGCTAATCATTTTCAACTCTAGGTCTGGAAAAATCAAGGGCATGATTTCTGAAATTACACTTAGCCTAAATAAAACTTAGAAACACTGTTCACCTTCTTCAATGTTTTTGACTGAGTCTTTTTCATTTATAAGTGACAGGAGGTGTTACTATAATATTATTTCCTAGAATGTCAAATTTTGAGCCTAACAGCATGGTAAATTTGGCTATATTTGTTTATTGTTTGTTTGTTTTATGAAACAGTATTTGCTTGTTTCCCACTTCTTTTTTTTTTTTTTTTTTTTTGGAGACAGAGTCTTGCTCTGTCGCCCAGGCTGGAGTGCAGTGGCATGATCTCGGCTCACTGCAAGCTCTGTCTCCCAGGTTCATGCCATTCTCCTGCCTCAGCCTCCCGAGTAGCTGTGACTACAGGTGCCCGCCACAACGCCCGGCTAATTTTTTTGTATTTTTAGTAGAGACGGGGTTTCATCGTGTTAGGCAGGATGGTCTCGAATTTGTGACCTTGTGATCTGCCGGCCTCGGCCTCCCAACGTGCTGGGATTACAGGTGTGAGCCACCACGCCCAACTTCCCACTTCTTTTTAATATGTAGTGTCATAACTGAACAGTAAAGTGAGCAGATTATTAGGTTAGATCTGAAGTGTCAGTCTGGTCACCAGTGCCCAAGTCACTGCCCCTATGGTAATATTGGTTACTTCATATTTTCCTACAGCAAACAAAATTTGTTATAGTGAGATTTTTACCTGTATACCTCTCTTCTTAACTTTAATGTTATTACCTCAAGGAAGATATTATAATGAATGAAGATTCCATGATGAAAACTTTGCAGAGTTTATTACAGTAATTTAGTACTTCATTAGATCTTTAGTTTTTTAGGAGCATAGCACTGAATGTTTGTTTCTTTGTTGAACCTTTTGAAAACTGGTTTTCCATTGATGCAGTGTAGCTATTACAGGAATATTATTTTTAAAACATTTTTATACAGCATGGCTGAAAATTGAACCTGGACCTGCCTCATGGCCTACCGTTGAAGGAATAGCATTTTTTGCCTACCTAGAAAGACAATGTTAAATATGCTTTCTATATATTTTTTGACTTGTGCTACCTACTGTGCGTTTATGTTTGTGGAATCTGGTTTCTTTTGGACAAAACCACAAATCAAAAACACCTCATTTCTTAGGCATTTGAAATCCCTAATTCAGAATAATCTCCCAAACAGAAACACAACTACCTGCGTTGTTTTTGACAAAAGAGCTAAGTAGCATTAAAAAATTATTTTAGGCCAGGCACAGTGGCTCACGCCTGTAATCCCAGCACTTTGGGAGGCCGAGGCGGGTGGATCATGAGGTCAGTAGATCAAGACCATCCTGGCTAACGCGGTGAAACCCTGTCTCTATTAAAACTACGAAAAATTAGCCAGTCGTGATGGTGGGTGCCTGTAGTCCCAGCTACTTGGGAGACTGAGGCAGGAGAATGGCGTGGGCCCAGGAGGCGGAGCTTGCAGTGAGCCAAGATCACGCCACTGCACTCCAGCCTGGGCAACAGTGCAAGACTCCATCTCAAAAAAAAAAAAAAAATTTTTTTTTGACCCCAATTCTGTTTTTTAACAGAATAAAATTCTTCTGTTCTTCACTTTCTTCTTTCACAAGTAACGTATTGAAAGTAGGGTTTATTTGGGGGAAGCATTTCTTTCTGTCTCTTATCTCATAATAAATACAGGTGTGCTTAACTGCTAGTTTCCTACCTCAAAGCACATACTCAAATCTAAAGATTTTTAAGATTTTGGAATCTGAAGAGTGTAAACATTTCTCCTAATCACAGTGTGACACAGACAAATGAATCAAGCCAATGCTACTTTTATTTATGCATAGTAACTGGGACTTTTCTTTTTGGAAATCAGATACATTTTGTATGTATTAGTAACTTGGAATCCTGCATTAGTTATCCTTGCTCTCTCAAAGCAGATGTTGAAATTATAAAGGTGCACAGTTTCTCCATGCAACACTGAAAGTTGTATTTTCCAAGGCTTTGTAAAATTGTAGAATATCCTGTTAAATTTCTGTCAAATCAGTAACTCACACTGTTTTGAGAATTATGAATAAAGGAATAAAATATTGTTAGTGTTTATTTAGTACAAAAGTAGATTATAGAATCTCAGCATTTTTATCAAAAATATTCTTTGTGATGGTTGATGTATCAGGAGACACTTAAGGCCATATCTGCTTTCAGTAATCAAAAATGCATTTAAGATGTAGAAACTTGAGGTAGCAGAAGTATACATCACTATAACATATTGATAACATCCTTTGGTATAGAAAATTATATTCCCAGAGTGAGTTTCTTTTTTAAAACCGTTAATGAGGCCAAGGTGGGAAGATGACTTCAAGACCAGCCTGGGCAAGATGGCGAGACCCTGTCTCTACAAAAAATTAACTGGGTGTGGTGTTGTACTCCTGTAATCCCACCTACTCAGAGTCTGAGGCAGGAGGATCCCCTGAGCCCAGGAAATTGTAGTGGCAGTGAGCTATGATCATACTACTGTACTCCAGTCTGGGCCACAAAGTGAGACCCTGTCTCTTAAAAAAAAAAAAAAAAATTAGCTGAGCATGGTGGCATGGGCCTGTAGTTTTAGCTACTTACGAGGCTGAGGCAGGAGGATCACTTGAGTCCAGAAGTTCAAGATTACAGTCAGTTATGATTGTGCCGCTGCACTCCAACCTGTGTGACAGAATAACCCTGTCTCTTGGGTGGGGGGTGGGGAGTTGATTATTTACTTTGAAATATGTTCAAAACTGATTCCTGTTCTATATTCCTAATGAACAGAATAGACTTTATATAAAACAAACGAACTTTAGGATAAAATTTAATGGAAGTATGATATATATGTGTGTGTGTATATATATATATTTTCCAGCTCTTCTGTCTTCTAATATATTTATTACATAAAATGAAATTACTTTGTTTCCACTTTGTATCACTTCAGTTCTCCAATAAATCTGAGAATTCTGGTAGTGTGAAATATTCAACTTTGTTTGCTTATTTACATAAAATGTATAAGGACAATTTGTGATAGTTAAGAGTTACATTTAAATATCAGTAAAAAGTTGTTATAAATTCAAATTTAAAATTTTTTAAAGGAAATTGTTAGAAATTTTAAAATGAACTAAAAGGTGATTATGTGTAAATGCTTGAATATATGAATATTAGCATTGTCCCTGAAAGAATTTAGAACAAAGAAATTGGAATCAAATAAATAAGGGTTTGATTATTTTTAAATTGGCTTATATTCCATTGTAAAACAGAGGTTTATCAGTGGCATAAGGAAGGTTTTTCACCTTTTTTGTATTGAAATCTTTGACATATACATATATATCTTTGCTAATCTTTGCTCATATGAGAGCAAAGATGTGCTCTCTCTATATATGTCTTTGTTCATATCAGACCTTCCTGATATCTCTACATAGTCTTAAATATAGAAACATTGGACGGGATGATCTCTGTGCCCCTTTTATCTATATTGTTCCATTATTTTATACTTTAACACATTATCTCTGTTTTATGATACAGAATGGAATATTTCTTTTTTCCAGAAAATGCTTATTGGTCAGTTGATACACATTAGGCCAATATGTGTTACTTGAGTGACCCATCTTCCTTCTTTTCATTTCTGTCTCCTGTCATTAACCTGGATATCTGGAATGTGGACCAAACTCTTCAAACGCTATGTAAAACCTCCTCACCTTTGTCCATTTGGTTGCTCAGCTACTAAGAGCACCATTTCTGAATTGAAGTTAACTGAATACCATTCTGTTTTAGAGATTATGACATACCTATTGGATTCTCATGCCTTTTTCCTCCCCTCACAAGGTTGAAGAGATGGTGCAGAACCACATGACTTACTCATTACAGGATGTAGGCGGAGATGCCAATTGGCAGTTGGTTGTAGAAGAAGGAGAAATGAAGGTAATTCCCCCTGAAATGTTGTAGATTGCCAAAGGCATCTCTGTTTCAGTCATATTATCATTACTATTGATATGAATAAGGATAGCACTTTCAACTTACCTTTAAAACAAATTATTACACGTGATCAAAGCAGTATCATATATGGAGCAATAGAATGTCTTTTTGCTTTTCTGGCTTTGCCTTTACTAAAATTTCTTTATAATTGTAATATAAATATATGATTAAACCTTTCTGTTTTGACTGGGCCATGAAGAAAATAAAATTTGGAGAATTAGATATGAAAGGTCACAATTAGCTGATGGTCCTGTATTTGGATATTTCCTTTTGTTTTTTTTTTTTTAACATACTGAATGTTGTGCCTAGATGACACTTTCTTTCTCTCCCTTTTTGGTCTATACCCTCCTTTTCTTTTCTCTTACTGCACCTTTTTTTGATGTTCAGACATTGGTCAGTTAATCTTGTTTACATCCCTAAACACAGGGACGGAAAATAAGAGCAAGGAATGAGAGAAGAAAAAGAATATTGACATTTAAAAGGTACTATTGGCCAGGCACAGTGGCTCATACCCGTAATCCCAGCACTTTAGGAGGACATGGCAGGTGGATTACTTGAGCTCAGGGGTTCAAGTCAAACCTGGGCAACACAGTGAAACCCCATCTCTACAAAAAATACAAAAATTAGCCAGGTGCAGTGCCACACACCTGTGGTCCTAGCTACTCAGAAGGCTGAGGCAAAAGATCCCTTGAGCCAGGGAGGTCAAGGCTGCAATGAGCCACATTTGTGCCACTGCACTCTAGCCTGGGTGACAAACTAAGACCCTGTCTAAAAAAATAGTATATATATATATGTGTGTGTGTGTGCATACTATTACTTGGCCCCATCTGATAACGTACTGAGTGAAGAGTACAGATGAGTGGTGGAGAAAATCAGAAAAGAAAGATCTCTGTGATTTGAAACAATTAGATTGTTTTACAATGCAGAGAAGCATTTGAACTGCATCTGGAAATAATAACAAAATTGTTTTTATTAATTTATTAATAATGATGTGAGCAAAAACTTGAAAGCAAACTTTTTAGTCGGGATTTTTGCATAATCTGTGTTGACCAGAATTATTCTAGCAAATAAGATATAATATTAGATGCTGAGATCTCCTCTCATCTTGAATAAGGAACAAATTAAGACATAAAATAAAAGAGACAGATAAATGAGTTACCAGAATGTTAGCTATAATTCTGATAAGGTGATTGTAGAAAATAGTTTGAGATCAGCTGCTACAGGGTCTTGTTATTCCAGAATTAAGCATGTTCCTGGCATTGCTGGATAATCACAAACCTTCACTACAGAAGCAGGCCAGGATGTATGCTCTTTGCGGAAGAAAAGGTTGAGCCACACCTGCCTTATTTGTTCTGTAGTCATCATTCAGTCACGGTAGAGTCACCTACCTCTAAGGAGGAGGAAGTGAAGCACTGAAGAGAAGCCAGGAGTGATGGTCTAGATGAAGTCTCTCCAGCTGGAACGAGGAATAGAAAATAAGTACTCCTACAGCCCACAGTGTTAGAGAAATTGGACCTAGATTATGAGAAGCATAAAGTTACTCTCTAAAGAGAATAGTCATTGTCTATAACAATTGTCTGTAACAGTAGATTAGCCACTGTATGAAAAGTATCTTTTTTTTTTTTTTTTTTTTTTTTTGGTAATCCCGACTAACTGGGATTACAGGCACCCACCACTATGCTGGGCTAGTTTTTGTATTTTTAGTAGAGATGGGGTTTCACCGTATTGGCTTGGCTGGTTTCAAACTCCTGACCTCAGGTGATATGCCCACCTCAGCCTCCCAAAGTGCTGGGATAGAAAAGTATAATTTTAAGAAGATCAAGCTGATAGGGAAGAAACTGGAGAACAAGCAGACTACTTAAAAGAGTCAGGCACAAAGTGATAGCTGGACATAGTGGCTGACGCCTGTAATCCCAGCTACTCAGGAAGCTGAGACAGGAGAATCGTTTGAACCTGGGAGGCCGAGGTTGCAGTGAGCCAAGATGGCGCCATTGCACTCCAGCCTGGGCAAGAGGAGCGAAACTCCATCTCAAAAAAAAAAAAGAAGAAGAATAGTAAAAAGCTTACTAGCTGTGTAAACTGTAAAGGGAGGAATCAAAAGTCTAGAGTTTCTAGTTTGGGTAGCTGGGAAAACGGTGGTCCCAATGATATGAGTAATAAATCTGTAGGGGAAGGTAGTCTGTTGAGAGATGCTGTAATAGAAACTATGTGAAATGTCTAGCCCCATAGGTCCTTCATAAATGGGCACTTGGTTCTCCCCCATGATACATGTTTCTTCATTTCTCAAAAGTATTTATCACATAATTATCTAAAGTAGCAAACTATAATTTTAAAATAATTAATTTTACTTAGCATTTAAGGTATATAACCTCAGTATTTAAAGTAAGATAGATCTGTTATTTATGTTTTTGCCATGTTAGCTTTCAGCCATTGATTTAACAAATAACCGAGTGCCTACTGTGTTTCAGATACATCTATTCTAGATTTTGGGATACAGCATTGAACAAAGCAACCTTAATTTAGTATCTTTAAGGAGAATATATTCTAGCCAGGTTTATTTGGTTTTCTTAGCCATGTTAAACAGTCTTTGAGAATGTTTGGTAAATAATGCCTAATTCAAATTGATACATTTATTTTTAAACAACTCACAGTAAGTTATTTATCACATACGCATGTTTTTTATGAAGTTTACCTTGGATTTATAATTTTCAGTACTTTTTGTTAATTTGAAATTTTTAATTTTCTTTTAGCAGAATATGTTCTATAAATAGATTTTCATAAAAATCTAAAGAGCAGCCATATTTAAAAGCATGTTTTCATGCTTTTATGGACTTGATTTTTAATTTTCAAACAGTTTTGGAATTATGTTATCTTTAGGTATACAGAAGAGAAGTAGAAGAAAATGGGATTGTTCTGGATCCTTTAAAAGCTACCCATGCAGTTAAAGGCGTCACAGGACATGAGGTCTGCAATTATTTCTGGAATGTTGACGTTCGCAATGACTGGGAAAGTAAGCTGTCATTATTAATATATTTTAATCTAATTATTATTTTGAATTTAATATCAAATCCAACCTAGTTTTCTGCATCTCATACATAGTTCACAAAGTCAACTTAGAAAGTATTTGGAAAATCATATAGAGGACTAACAATACATTTATGTGGAACTTTTCAGTGTACAAAATGCTTCCTACTATGTAATTTGATCCAATAACCTCAGTAATCCTACAATGATAAGTAGTTATTATTGCTTATTTTACATACAAATTAAGTAAAATTCAGATAGGCAAAGTGACTTGTCAAAGGCAACAAGGTGGAGAAGCCAAGACTGAAATTGAAGATTTCTGTTTCATCATCTACTTTTTCCTAAACTGTTTCCATGGTAAATCCTAGGTGAATCCTTTTGTGATTACTTTAGAATTATTTTTTTTTTTTAGATAGAGTTTTGCTCTTGTTGCCCAGGCTGGAGTACAATGACGTGATCTCAGCTCCCTGCAACCTTTACCTCCCCAGTTCAAGTGATTCTTCTGCCTCAGCCTCCCAAGTAGCTGGGATTACAGGTGTACACCATCACGCCCAGCTAATTTTTGTATTTTTTAGTAGAGACAGAGTTTCACCATGTTGGCCAGGCTAGTCTCGAACTCCTTACCTGAGGTGATCCACCCGCCTCGGCGTCCCAAAGTGCTGGGATTACAGACATGAGCCACCGCGCCCAGCCTAGAGTTACTCTTAGTGTGTATTCCCCTTAGACACACAATCTCCTAAGTATAGATACTTCTCAACATCATGTTTATCATTGGCAGTTTGACATCCCTTTTTCACAGAAATAGCCATCTAAGATTAGATATAACAATTTATTTAACATCAATAAATTAGAGAAAAAGGGAACAGTTTTAGTGTTAGGGAACTATTTGTGCCTGAGTGATGCAGTAGTGATTAGAATTGCTTTCTTGCTGTGGGAGATAGATATTGGGCCAAAGAAAATGAGGCTTCCTGGTGATCAGACCTCACATCCCTCATCTGTAACCACAATGCTAAGTGTTAGCTACCTTCCATTTGGACGTAGCCTAGATAGGGCAGGATCTTGTTCAATTGACCATACTGTCCATTCGTACGTGACTTTCATCATAAGTTAATTGATCACATTCTAGGAAAAGATAATTTATCTTTTTATTATTCTCTTCATTTCAGCAACTATAGAAAACTTTCATGTGGTGGAAACATTAGCTGATAATGCAATCATCATTTATCAAACACACAAGGTAAAGATCTCTTCATTCATCCTAAAAGGACTTCAATGTAGTTCAAACACAGACATGCAGATTCCCTAAAGTAAAATTGGGGAGGTTATTAAAAGGCACAAAAATCCAAAGACTTTATTAATGATTCATGAATGTCATATATTTGAAAGGTGTATCAACCTGTTCAGAGCAGAAATGTGTGCAGGCAAGAATCTGAGAGAGACAATCTAGAAATAGAGTGCTTGATAAAGATCAACAGTTAGTTCCCTTGATGTAGTTTTTATTTTTGAAGAGACAGGGTCTTGCTATGTTTCCCAGGCTAGGCTCAAACTCCTGAGCTCAAGTGATCCTCCTGCCTCAGCCTCCCAAGTAATTGGAACTATAGGTGTATGCCACGCTCTCAGCTTTCTTTATACACATTTTAAGTCTAGAAAAGAGCTTTCTGAAATACTGAAATACATTTAAATACCTTTCTAGTATCTAGTCTCTATTAAGAGGTAAATGATAGTTACCAAATATGAATGTGAATTATAGCTTCCTGTGACAACAACAATAAGGGTAATGGCTAGTATGGTATTAGCCTATGTTAAGACTAATAGATATAAAAGTAAGTGGATTATCTGAAGGCAAAGAAAAATCGCAGAGCATGACTTGAGAGGTTAGTCATACACCAGAGCACACAGAAACATAAATTAGTTCCCTTTCACCTTATTTCTTCTTCTGCTATTCTTGATATTTAAAATTATAGAATTAATATTTCTCTTGCCTTATTCTGCTGTTTCTTTTCTGAAAACTGCCCAATAACATAATGTGTATAGCATAATAAAAGGAATTAAAATTTTGGAGAGATCCACCAAAAACAATATTAAACATTATAAAAGAAATATAATGATTTAATAGATACTTTGTTTTTCCAATTCAGTGAGTACTTCATTTTTCTTTTTTAAATGGTTTTTGAGTGCATTGTATGAAAACATTAGTCTGTTTTGTATTAAGCTCAGTCTTGTCATCTGAGACATCTTGTATGTAATAATTAGGAGCCATACTTAATTTTACATGATAGCTGCTCAGAAATGCATAACAGTTAAGATTCTGTTTTAGCATACAAATTTTGAAGTCTAATTTGAAATCTAAAATTTAGTAAATGTCAGAATATTAATAAGTCGCCCTATAATTGGGAATGAAGATAAATAACCAATAATTTAGAACCAAAAGAGCCTTATTATCTAGAAATAATCCATCATGGAAAACAATCTGCTGAAGGTATTCTACTAAATAAATAGTAGATGGAGAGAGGGTCATATAAGTTGTATCAGGATTGAAAAATAAAACTAAAAATTATTAAAATCTTATATGTAACAAAATGTGTTACAGTTATAATTATTTGCCAATTCTTGGAATAAACAAATTGTCCTGGAATAATTTTTTCAAGAAAATCACATTACATTCACAATGTATGTAACCATACCACTAACACTATATCTGAAATTTATCATCACCCCAGACAGAAACTCCGTACTCATTTAAGCAACAACTCCCCATTCCCCTCTCCTCACATTCCATGATAATGTTCTGCTTAGACTCAAAGTCTATAGTGTTATTTACACTACAATATTTTTCCCTTTAAATTTGACTTCTTTTACAGTATGGTCTTAAAAGAGGGCTACTGGTCTCTTGATGTTTAAGTCATTCTCATTCTTTAAATTTCTATCTTATCATCCTGTGGATTTGTATTCATTAGGTCTAAATTTGCCAAATCTTCATGTATTACTGTCCCCACACAATTTACCCAACATTGTGTTCGTCAACTGCATGAAATTTTGTATCTTTAAAAAATGAATCATTTCATCTTGCAAATGATTTGTATTGTATGCTATTTATTACTCTCAGTAATCAAGAATGACACTGCATAATAAGGACTAGTCCAGGTACATATATGAGATAACCAAAACAGAAGTAACAAACAGGATAAAAGATTTGTGTTGGATTTTTTTTGTTTTTTTGTTTTTTTCTCATTTAAAGGAGGTAGTCCCATTTATTGAAGACCTAGGCTCCATGTCATTCCCAGAGTATATGTTTCCCCTTGCATACCTTAATATTGAAATACTCAATCTAAGTGACTTAGAGTTCTTTCTAATGTGATTTGATTCAAAGAAGTCTTTTTTCTTTAAATCTTTGAATCTAAGCGGACCATAATCATGGAGTATGAGGAGAGAGGAATGGAAAGTTGTTGCTTAATGGGTACAGAGTTTCTGTTCAGGATGATGATAAATTTCAGAGATAGCCGTATGGTTACACAGCACTGTGAATGTAATTAATGTCCCTGAATTGTACCTTAAAAATTAGTTAAAATGGCAAATTATATGTGTATATATTTTACTATAATTTAAAAAATAGAACATTATTCCTTTTATTATATTGTTCTGCAAAGCTATTAACTCTGTTCATAATTAATCATTTGGTAGATATCCTCAGATGCTTTCCGTTTAAAATTTGAGAGATTTTACCTTCAATTAAGACATTTATTGGCATTACATTTGTCTGTCCTGTTAGTTCCATGTTAGATCTGTTTTTCAGAAGATTTTTACTTCTCCACAGAGGGTGTGGCCTGCTTCTCAGCGAGACGTATTATATCTTTCTGCCATTCGAAAGATATCAGCCTTGACTGAAAATGACCCTGAAACTTGGATAGTTTGTAATTTTTCTGTGGATCATGACAGTGCTCCTGTAAGTACAATATATATAAATGTGTATAATTAATATAAAGCTAAATACACAATGCAGGATAAAGACGATAAACACATCCCACACACAATACTTGATTTGATAATGCTTCTTATTGTGTTAGATTGACTGCTAGCAATAGTATAGCCCATGTGTTGTCTGAGAGCAACAGTCATGGCTATGAACATTCCACCAGGGCCATTTACCTTTCCTTCTAAGGTTTGGTGAAACAGCCAAAAGGGCAGTACGTACCCTGGGCAATAGGCTACTTCCCACAGTTATCTCTTAAGCTATTATCAACTACCAGCCAAACCTCTGTGGTTTACCACAATTTAGCTCCATTTAGCACTTAAGAGGAGGGAAGCCTGGGCAACATGGTTAGACCCCATCTCTATTAAAGAAAAATTTTGCTTTTCTTTTTTTTTTAATTAGCCAGGCCTGGTGATGTGTACCTGTGGTCCCAGCTATTCTGGAGGTTGAGGCAGAAGGATTGCTTGAGCCCAGGAGTTTGAGGCTGCAGTGAACTATGATGGCGCCACTGCACTCCAGAGTGGGCAACAGAGCAAGACCCTGTCCCCGAAAAAAGTGGGTGGGGAGGAATCCTGGTGTCATATCAGCTTGGTGCTTATAAGATTTCACTGGAGATAGTTTTTAAGAGTTATGATTTTGGTTAACGTAATATGAGACTAGACCAGCAGAGTTTACAAAATACTGGGTATCTACTGATGCTTTGTTTTTTGTTTTGGCAGCTAAACAACCGATGTGTCCGTGCCAAAATAAATGTTGCTATGATTTGTCAAACCTTGGTAAGCCCACCAGAGGGAAACCAGGAAATTAGCAGGGATAACATTCTATGCAAGATTACATATGTAGCTAATGGTATGTATTTTATTGTTTTTGCTCTTTGATAATGTGGCTGTTCTTGATCATGACCTATATGACAACAGTTTGGACAAATGCCTTTTTAGTTCTTATCCATTAGTTTACTGAATTTTAATTTGGAGAAAGGTATATCAGAATTACTAGAGAATCTTTGAAAATACAGTTGTCTGAATTTCACCCGGAGCTACTACTATGTGAGTATTTCTGAAGCTAGAGGTGGATAAGTAAATTTTAAAACTTTATCCCTAGGTCACTGTCATATACCCTTCTTTTTTTTTTTTTTTTTTTTTTTCTGAGATGGAGTCTCGCTATGTTGCCCAGGCTGGAGTGCAATGGTGCAATCTCAGCTCACTGCAACTTCCGCCTCCCAGGTTCGAGCGTTTCTCTGCCTCAGCCTCCCCAGTAGCTGGGATTACAGGTGCCCACCACCATGCCCAGCTAATTTTTTGTATTTTTAGTAGAGACAGGGTTTCACCATCTTGGCAAGGCTGGTCTTGAACTCCTGACCTCGTGATCCACCCACCTTGGCCTCCCAGAGTGCTGGGATTCCAGGCGTGAGCCACTGCACCCGGCCTAGCCTTCATTTTTAAGCACCATTTTCTTAGATATTTGCCTAATAGAATGTGTTTATAATTAGGAATATAAGCAACAGTGGGGAAGGAAATTAAGAGTTCTTTTACTCATTGTCAGCCTTTTTAACTGTCTGAATCAGGACTCCCCTAACCTTATTTGTTGCTAGTTACATATTTATTTCTCTCTGGCATTCATTGTCAGGCTTTTTGTTTTCTGAGTCAGTGCTTCCCTAGTCCTTATTAGTTGCTAGTTACCTATTTCTTTCGCTTTGGATAGGCCTTTTCATTGCTTGCTTTGGGTCCTTGTTTTACCTGCTTTGCACCTGCAGTAATCATTGCAACCTCTCTCATCAAAAGTCAAGCCTTCTTCATATAGGGCCATAACTGCTAGTATGTTTAAAGAAACAGTTGTACCTGAGTAAGTTACTATTTAATTACAGTACAGATTTATGAATAAATCTGCCTTAAATAACCTTAAGTGGTGCTATAGTAATTTTTACAGGTAATTTCGGGAACCAAGAACATTGTAGAAAGGTTATAAATGCTTTCTTATTTGCTGTCTGATTATGTCTGATGGATAGTGTTAAGGAATGAAAGGTTGGGACTTAAAAAATGCTAATTAGTCCGGCCAGGTACAGTGACTTATGCCTGTAATCCCAGCACCTTGGGAGGCTGAGACGGGCGGATCATGAGGTCAAGAGTTCGAGACCATCCTGGCCAACATGGTGAAACCCTGTCTCTACTAAAAATACAAAAATTAGCTGGGCATGGTGGTGTGCACCTGTAATCCCAGCTACTCAGGAGGCTGAGGCAGGAGAATTCACTTGAACCCCAGAGGCGGAGGTTGCAGTGAGCCAAGATCACGCCACTGCACTCCACCCTGGCAACAGAGCGAGACTCTGTCTCGAAAAAAAAAAAAAAAGAAAAAAAGAAGATGCAAATTGGTCCAATGTGAGGAATATTTTAAAAGCAAGGGAACAAATTAAGTGCTTCACATATGTTTGGAGAATTGTATCTTAATACATTTTAATTTTCCTTTATCTTACAGTGAACCCTGGAGGATGGGCACCAGCCTCAGTGTTAAGGGCAGTGGCAAAGCGAGAGTATCCTAAATTTCTAAAACGTTTTACTTCTTACGTCCAAGAAAAAACTGCAGGAAAGCCTATTTTGTTCTAGTATTAACAGGTACTAGAAGATATGTTTTATCTTTTTTTTTTTTTTAACTTTATTTGACTAATATGACTCTGTCGATACTAAAATTTAGTTGTTGAAAGTATTTGCTGTGTTTTTTGATGTTCCCCTATAGAGTATTGTTTCGTTGGTTTTTGTTGTTGTCATTGTTGTTGTTTTAAACAGGGTCTTGCTCTGTTGCCTAAGCTGGAGTGCAGTGACATCATCACAGCTCACTGCAACCTCGACCTCTGGCATCAAGCGATCCTCTCATCTCAGCCTTCACAGTAGCTGGAAGTCCCCGCAGGCATGTGCCACCACACTCAGCTAATTTTTTATTTTTTGTAGAGATAAGGGTCTTGCTATGTTACCCAAGTTGGTCTTGAACTCCTGGCCTCAAACAATCATCCTGCCTCAGTCTCCCAAAGTGCTGGGATTACAGACATGAGCCACCATGCCTGGCCTTGGGAATTGCAGTTTATAGCCTTTAAAACTTAATTTTTTTATTGTTTCCTTTTTCTTCTAATGCTTATGTAAAGAAATTTTGATATTATAGAACTGTAGAATTGCAGAAGGGCAAACTTCCTGTATGTATTCTTTCCTTTCCTCGAAACTGTTATTTTTGTTGTATAATCTTCCAGATTTTTCTTTGTATACACTGACATATTTTTGAGAGTTAAAATGTTTATACTTACTATTATAACAAAATTCTTGTTTTATAGCCTGCTTTTTTTTCACTTAACAATGTATCTTGACTATCTTTCTATATTTATAAGACATTAGATGTGTAAAACATCTCATTCTTTTAACATCTGTTACATGCATGTTGCAGAATTTATTAACTAGTCCCACGTTAATGTCTGAGTTGGTTCCGTATTTTTACTGTCAACCAGTACAGCACTGAACACCTCTATGCAAAGAGGTAGAATCTTTAACCTTTTTTGTTGTTGTTGAGACAACATTTCTCTCTTGCTGCCCAGGCTGGGGTGCAGTGGCGCAATCTCAGCTCACTGCAACCTCTGCCTGCCAGGTTCAAGCGATTCTCCTGCCTCAGCCTCCTGAGTAGCTGGGATTAGAGGCGTCCACCACCATGCCCAGCCTATTTTTGTATTTTTAGTAGAGACGGGGTTTCGCCGTGTTGGCCAGGCTGGTCTCGAACTCTGACCTCAGGTGACCTGCTCTCCTGGGCCTCCCAAATTGCTGGGTTTACAGGCGTGAGCCACTGCGCCCGGCCCAGAATCTTTAACTTTTTAAAGTAAGTGATACATTAACATGATTAAAAGTCAAAAGTGACCAGGCGCAGTGGGTCACACCTGTAATCCCATCACTTTTTGGGAGACCAAGGTGGGAGAATGGCTTGAGGCCAGGAGTTCAAGTCTAGCCTGGGTAACACAGCAAGGTTCCATCTTGACAAAAAAAAAAATTAGGCGTGGTGGCATACACGTATAGTCCTAGTTACTTGGGAGGCTGAAGCAGGAAGATCGCTTTGTCCAGGAGTTTTAGGCTGCAGTGAGCTGTGGTTATACGACTGCCCTCCAGCCTGGACAGGTAATGTCTCTTAAAAAAAAAAAAAGTCAGAAGTATGAAAAAGTTCTGAGATGGGCGGATCACGAGGTCAGGAGATTGAGACCATCCTGGCTAACCTGGTGAAACCCCGTCTCTACTAAAAAATACAGAAGACTAGCCGGGCGAGGTGGCGGGCAGCTGTAGTCCCAGCTACTCGGGAGGGTGAGGCAGGAGAATGGCATAAACCCGGGAGGCAGAGCTTGCAGTGAGGTGAAATTTAGCCAGTGCACTTCAGCCTGGGCAGCAGAGCGAGACTCCATCTCAAAAAAACAACAAAAAAAAGAAGTATGAAAAAGTTACACAGTAAAATTTATCCTGTCTTGCATTCGCCATATACTATTAACTATTACTATATGCTATTACTAGTTTTTTCCAGAAAGTTTTTAATGCTTGAATGAACAAATACTAGTGTATTTTCTACACATATACACTTTTTTTGTTGTTAGAGAAGCAGCAGCATACTGTAAACACTGTTCAACATCTTATATTTGCATTTTATCTTGAAGGTCTCACATATTTATAAGGAGCTTCCTCATTTTGATGGTTATACAGTAGTCCATTGTGTAGATACACATAATTTGTTTAATCAGTTCTGCATTGGTGAATATTACAGTTTCCAATTTTTGCTAGAACAGTGTTTTAATTGTATCCATATGTCATTTTGTACTTGCAAGTTTATATGTGGGAAAAATTAATAGATGTGGTACTACTGGCCCTGCTAGGGGTTTGTGCATTTATAATTCAGATACTACTTTTCATAGAGGTTATAGTAATTGACCATCTCAACAGCAATAATGAATTGCCGTGCCTGTATCCCATAATTTTTCATACAATGCGTAAAACAAAACTTTGTAACTTTCCCAACTCATTAGGTGAAAAATACTCTGTCAGTGTAGTTTTAATTGTATTCTTCTTATGACCGAGTTTAAGCCTGCTTTGGTCCATTGAGAATCTTTTGTATAATACTATTTCTATAAATTCTATTTTGTAATAACATTTAAAATATTACTAGGTATTGCCAATTGTGATACACAAATGGTAAGCAGTAACACGTGAATATCCTCTCATTCTCACCTATACTGAATGTTAAGTAATTGGCTGAGAAATGTATATTCTTGAGTCCTTTTCTTCAGCTAAAAATAATAGTCAAGTATATAATGAAATAATGTTAAACAAATCTGATTTCTAATGATGTTTATGGTATGTCTTTCTTTTAAAAAAATGCAAAGGCTAAATTTATTGTCCGATACTAACTAATATCCCATATTAACATAAGGTGTATTACATTGATGTCTTATTTAGCTTTTTCCCAGGAAAAAGGGTATTTGAAAATAGTGTTTTGTAATATAGCCTGACTCTTTAGGGATTCTCTCCTCAGGCACATGTGCACTGCATTAAGTGTGCTCACAATTTTTATAGTATCTTGTACTTTAGAATTGTTATAGCTAGATCTGGATGCATTACTTCTTATTGTTTCTGAGTCTGTGCCATAGTTATCAAATAAACCAGAAAACTGATGGCACGTGACAGAAACAGGCTTATCACCCTGCTTAGTGATATGTCTCTTTGCCATAGCCACTAGGTTTTTAAAGTGGTGCTGTTTCACTCTATCCAAGACCAGATTTTGTTTCACTCTGTCTTCTCTCTTCACCATGACCTCGCTGAAACAGCCTCCCTCTTGATGCTTTATATGACTTCCTTACCAAAGGGGCTCAGATATTCAACTAAACAAGACAGAAAATATAACTTTGTATTAAAGCAAAAGAAATCAGAATGCAGTTCTGTGTAAAACATGCTCTCAATTATATTTGAGAAGAATAACTTTTTGAAACATTTGAAAGATACATGGTAGGATATTAGCAGCATTTGCATCTAGACTGTTGGATTTAGAGCAGTGTTTTATTGACTGTGTGTGTGCATGTATATGTGCACAGATTTTTCATTTACGGACCTAGGAGGGAGGAGCTTGGAATCTTAAAAACGTCTCTGGGGAAGAGAGGTCTATTGTTTGTGGATACGTGTATATGTGTGCAAAGATACAACTGAAAAGATTCATTGGCCCAAACTCAAATCTGGCTTTTTGAGTCCAGATTGAGCTTCTTTCTAACAAAGATCCAAATTCAAACCTTAATGTGAAAAAATCTTTGTTACTGTAACATGATTTTTTTTTTCTTACAATAATTATGGAAGATAAATGTATGAAGTCAAACCCAGCATTGAAACCCTAGGAAAGCGAACATTCTTAAGTTTGGTGATGGAAAAAATAGTAACATTAAATAGTGTGTATATCACCTTTAGACAAAGTTCTGTAAAGGGTTAATAAGATCCAAAGTTGTTTAACAGTAAAAACTATATATATATATAGATTTTTTTTTTTTTAAAGACAGCATCTCACTCCTGTCGCCCAGGCTGGAGTGCACTGGAGCAATCTCAGCTCACTGCAGCCTCAACTTTCCAAGTTCAGGTGTTCCTCCTACCTCAGCCTCCTGAGTAGCTGGGACTACAGGCACACACCACCATGCCCGGCTAATTTTTTGTACTTTTAGTAGAGTTGGGGTTTCACCATGTTTCCCAGGCTGGTCTCAAACTCCTGAGTTCAAGCAATCCGCCTGCCTCAACCTCCCAAAGTGCTGGGATTACAGGCGTGGGCCACTCGCCCAGCCAGTAAAAACTTTTAAACTCATTTGACAAAGAGTTCAGAGCATGTTTGTTGATTAAATAAGGCAAGCGTCTCTCTCATAGCTTGAATACATTTTTTAAATTCTTGATAAATAGTATTGTATGTCATAATTTTTATTACAGGCTAAGAAAAGAAATGCCATGTTGTGGGGTAAAAATCAGGAGACCTTTCACTGATCCCCTCTGCTTGCCTATATTGCCCTTTTTTTTTTTTCAGATGCCTAACCCCCTTTATTTCACACACCTATGCAAATTGTGAGGCCGAGGATGTGACTACAAACAGTTAAGATTTGATTTACATAAATAAGCTTTCTCCCTCATGAAAATACACTGTGTCACTTCACACTTGGTCTGACACACACAAAAAATTCTCACCCTATGTGGCACAAATACACTGAGCATGCAATATTAAGTACACTTTCCATTTTATTTTTCTCCAGAGAATAGTCCATCTTCAGTCTTTAAGGACGCAGCTCCTTACATGGGCTTTGGTGGTGGGGGTCAAGGGGCAGCACCCACAGATCTAAACTGGGGTGGAGGTATTTGATTCTTCTCCATGAGATCAATTCCTGACTACTTTGTTGTGAATTGCACAACTCACACAGTAATGTAGCTTCACATACAACTTGGGAAGCACATGGACATCAAAGACGCTTGCTTCGGAAACGTCCCTGACTGCTGTGGCCTTCACTGTGTATCAAATGACGAATTTCTTAATGGCCTTGTCCTTGAGCACGCATAGGGCACAGTTGGTACAGCAAACAGGCTGCACGTGGCAGCGGTCCTTTTTGGCACAACCATTGTTCCTTCTTTTCTTTGTCATCTTGGAGGCCCAGACCGTAGAGAGGACTATTCCCCTAACTTTTGAAAAATTCCATATACCTTCGATTCCTTGCTGATAGGATAAGTTCAAATTTGTAAGGTTAATAATTTTGCATTCATAATGATAAATTTTAATAGAGATTCTGTGCATTACATGAATATGGAGGGTGGGAGAACTCTGTTCTGGTAGTCTTGCAGCTGTTAGTAACAAACATACTGCTGAGTTTTTTACTTGTCTTTTTTTTTTCCTTCAGTGACTGAAGCAAGGCTGTGTGACATTCCATGTTGGAGAAAAAAAGAGAAAAAAAAAAGCTGAATGCTCTAAGCTGGAACATAGGATCTATAGCCTTGTCTGTGGCCCAAGACCTTGGCCTTGTGTACAAAAATGACAAAATATTGCAATAGCAAAGCTGAACATCTAACACTAGCTATCTCCTGCTAGATCTCCTTGCTCAGCATATAACTATAAATACATGTAAAATTACATGTATATGGCTATATTTTTATTTGCTTGCTCCTAGAAGAGAAAAAAAAAATCAACTTTGAATCACAACTAGGAATTGATGCTTTAATTTTTGGATACTTTTTCAGAATTTTTAATTTACTATGGTCCGGCCTAAGATCCTCTATTGTATCAGGTTTTGTGCACAAAAGAAAAGCACAAAAGTTGAACGCACATGGGGCATGTGCTTTCTGTGCAGCAAATAATCTGGACGAGGTTCTTTTTTCAGGCCTACAGTCAAATCTGTGTCCAGAATTTTTTGACTTTTTTGCTTTGTATAATCATAGAATTCGTTGCTGCTGATTTCTATAATGATTCATGTTGTTGTGTGTGTCTTAATAACTGAGGGCTGTCAATAACCTGTGATTTTGCCTTTTCTATAGTCTTACTCCCATGAAGAACCTTGGTTCTGATGGAGAAAGTGAAAAGCTTTATTTCTTCCCCCAGATATCTTTATATTTCTATTATATTTTTTAGTTGTGTACTGTGTGCTAGACATTTTTTTCAGTTTATTACAAACACAATTTGGTAATCCCTAAATTGGTTCTGCCTGTCTCCAAACAGAAATATCTGTACAAATCTTGTTGGTATAGACTACTTTCTGGAAAATGGTCAAGATAAATTCATGTTTTCTTTAAATTTCTAAGGTAGTATATGGTATAACTTGTTTAAAGCAAATCAGACTGAGTTTGACATTTAATTCAATATTTCTGGTATTCAGTAACGGGTATATATGTTTGTTCTTCCAGTTTGGGCCAGTTTAAAAGATAGGTTGCAAAGTATACATGGAAAATGTGAGCAATGCCTCTCTGCCTCTTGATCAGAAACTTCAGCAGAGCAGTAAAGATTCCACATGATTCAAACTGAAATGCATTTCTTTGTTGCTATATGAACTTAAAATGTAAAATACCTTTTTCAGTTTAAGTCTTGTGAACAACATTGAAGCATGGAGATGAGGCAAGGAATAGTGCTCACTGAAGTTGAAATGACTGCCCACTTCAAAATCTTCATTGTGTTTACACACCAGTGTATTTATACAAATCAGAGGCATTTTGTAGATGCTTCACTGACTTGTTCAGCTCTGTGAAAACACAGAAATCGGACCCATTTTGTAAAGCAGAAAGTCATGTCACATGGAACATGTCCTGTATATATCACATACATGGTAATGGAGTCTTAATGATAAGTGCAAGATAATAATTTAATGATGGGATTAGTCTGATGGCTTAATATGCACAATCCTGGAAGTGAATTACTTGCATCAGATATAGTGATATTTATTATTCTGTACAGAGAGAAAAATACATATAAAACATATGCTTACATTACATGCACGCAGATTTCACGCTCCATAATCTTTTCTATTTTTTAATTTACCTTTCTGTAAATGATGTGCATGGAATATGCCTTATAGAAAAATGCTGTTCATAATTTGACTACGTGGAAAAGTGCCTATATGGTGGTAATGCTAGTAAGGCAAATAAGACAAATTATCATGTTGGTTTACTACATCACCAGTTAACATTTTATATTGTGATGTTTAAAAAAGAAAAGTTTATACCTCAAATGTGTATTTTATTTTACAATCAGCTGTGGGTTATGGGGTTGGGATGGGAGAATGGGAGGGTTGGGGAGGGCAGGTTTATTCACCATAGCCACTGATAAGAATCTTCAAAAAAATTCTGTATGCTCACTATAAATGTTTCTCTGTTTGCCATTTCTGGTAACTGTCATGAACACAGACAGTTAACTCTTTCATTACTAAATTGGATAGCTTTATTTTACAGAAGTATGGGAAGTTTACAAAGCAATATCTAAATCTAATTATCACTAGTTGCATTTGGACTAAATGTGATGATATACTTTTGCAATTGATTCTGTAAATAAAATGATCACACTAAAATATTTGTATTAAGAGAAGAAAAGATAACATTTTACCTTTAGATAACTGCACTTTTACTTCACTAGAGTTAATTCCACCCAATCAGATTGAGAAATAAATTGGTGAATATGGAAAGAGTCCAAAAGAGGTCAGAATTTGGAGAGGTACTGGCCTTCTGGACAACATTTAGATCCTCTAGAATTATTTTCATTAAGCTGATTCCTACATCCTGAATATTCATGTTTTCTCATCTACAGATAATTTGTCTTCCTCCAAACCAAAAGAAAAAACTACCCTTTACTCTCTTTTCTACTCAGTTTATCTTTTGTGCTATGTTAGAAACTTGAAATCTATTGGTGATGTGGGGTTTTATCCCTGACTGCCACTGCACAGGACAAGAGAGCACAGTGTTTCCGTTGGAATTCAGGACTCCTGGTTTTGAGGTAGAGGATGATCACTGCAATACTTGGTTTGGTATTGCCACAGGGGTAACTAAACCAAAGGAGGGTTATATCTGCAAGGGAGGTGTAAGAAGGCAAAATAAGGAAAAGGAGGAATGGGTTTTCTCTTTGTTCAGTTTCATCAACTAATTTATACACCTAATACAACGTCAGTGTCAATTGCTATTAAGAAATTTTTAGTTGGGCTGAGCTGGTTCTCTTGTGAAATTGTGCTGGTTATCTTTAAGCTTATCAGTTATTTGTCCAATTAAACACTTTTCACCAGTATTTAGTCCGAGTTGTACAGACGATGTATTTGGATTTTGTCATGGTTCATCTACAGACTCAAAACATAATCATTTTAAAGTACCTTGGGAGTGTGTAGAGTAACTTCTATAATAGCTTTATGATCCTGATGATGTTTTTTAAACATAATAAAGTTGGATCTTCCATGTTACAATCACAAAATTAAAACCAGTATTTAAAGTGGAAAAGTATTAAAATATTATGGACAAATATGCTGGCTTGATTTGTTTTCCTTAACCCTGAGATATTGCCCTACTCTGAGTAGTTAAGAGCTTGAAATTCAGTGTTCTTCCTGTAACCCAGTTAGGGATCAAGAAAACAAAGTTGCAGCCAACATTTTTATTTTGTTTTTTTTTGTTTTTTTTTTTTGAGACAGAGTCTTGCTCTGTCACCTAGGCTTTGAGTGCAGTGGCACGATCTTGGCTCACTGCAACCTCCATCTCGCAGGTTTAAGCGATTCTTGTGCCTCAGCCTCCCAAGTGGCTGTGATCACAGGCGTGAGGCACTACGCCCGGCTACTTTTTGTATTTTTAGTAGAGACAGGGTTTCGCCATGTTGGCCAGGATGGTCTCGAACTCCTGACCTCAGATGATCCACCAACCTGGGCGAAATGCTGGGATTACAGACATGAGCCAGTGCCCAGCCCAATTTTTTTTTTAACAAAATATAACAGTGGAATATATCAAGTATATGACATGTAATAAATATTTTGTATGTATTTTGTCATATGTATTATACATATGTGTGTAGTGGGTTACAGTTTACAATGAATTTCTTACTGTGGATCACGTCCAGAAGTTTTAAAAGATTGCTAGAGAATTAAGCTATATTCACTTGGGTGTTTCTAAAATGGAAGCACAGTGCTGGCGAATGATACACATTTATTTTGTAATTGATCTGTATGCACTTAACCATAAATAAATCATCTCATTTATTTAAATCTCATTTAAATAATCTCAGCTCCAGTTGTTGCACTCAGGGAATTTATGCCCTAGAACAACCATGAAATGGGAAGTGTGAACTTGCAGTTCATTGAGCCAGTGGATTTGTATTGAAAGGCACTGAGCATATTTCTTTCCTAGTGTTCAAAAATACATGACATCCAAACAATGTAATCTGTAAATAAAAACCAACTACTTAATCTGGTGGGATGCTGGAGGGAAAATCTGACTTGTGTTGAATTTGTTGACAGAGAAATATGTGGTCCTCATTCCTAGAGGGATTTTCTAGGGCAGTTTTAACTGCAGGTTTTGCTTTAGGCTTGACTTTGGAATATAACCTGCAAATAAGGTGTAGTTCTACCTAGCAGTTTCAAATGGGGTTGCTTTTATAGGCTCTTCCAGATTTTCTTGCCATTATTTGAACTTGGTTACTACAGAGTTCATACTATCATTTACATTGTCTGCCTATTAAGACACATTTTCTGTGAACTTTCCACATCTGTATCCTTTGAATAGCCTTGCACAGATATCATAAGTGAAGCTACTTTATTTGGCCTCTTCATTCTTTCTTTGTATAGAGTTCTGTGAGGTTAGTACTAGAACAAATCTTTAATATCTCTGAAGTTAGAAGATGCCAAACCACGATGTTCCTGTCACCCAGGCTCTGTGGTTGATGAGGTGTTGTGTGAGGGTATCTCCGTCGTGTCTGTACCAGGCACTGTGCCTGCTTTTTCTGACTCCTCCCCACTCAGCAGTCCAGTGAGGTGATAGTGGTGATTGGTGATACCACCCCTCTTTTACAGAGGAGGGAACAGGTTGGGGTTCCAAACCTACTGATTGACTCAAGTTTGTTTTCTTCCCATTAGACTTTACTTTTTAATGCCTATGTGTAATATCTAGAATATAGTGTTTGATGGACTGGAAAGAACCAACATGCTTGAAGACTAGCAATTTTGGTGTATGGGTCTTAGTCCCACACTTCAATATTGGCTTCACAAAATTCCAAATACACATGGTTCCTTAACAATGGTTCGATTTATGATTGTTTGACTTTATACAAAGCACTACAAATACAGTACACTCCAACTTGCCATGGGGCTGTGTTCCAGTAAACCAATCATATACGGAAAATACTGTAAGTCAAAAGTACATTTTCAGCCAGGGGCAGTGGCTCACACCTGTAATCCCAGAACTTTGGGAGACTGAAGCGGGTGGATCACCTGAGCTCAGGAGTTGGAGACCAGCCTGTCCAACATGATGAAACCCTGTCTCTACTAAAAATAAAAAAGTTAGCTGGGTGTGGTGGCACACACCTGTAATCCCAGCTACTCAGGAGACTGAGGCAGGAGAATTGCTTGATCCCGGGAGGTGGATGTTGCAGTGAGCTGAGACTGTACCACTGTACTCCAGCTTGGGTGACACAGCAAGACTCTGTCTCAAAAAAAAAAAGTTTTCAGCTTACGGTATTTTCAACTTGGAATGGGCTTATCAGTACATAGCCACATCATAAGTCGAGGTGCTTCTGTCGAAAATGCGTTATTATTTTAACTTACTTTCAACTTACAGTGGGGCTTATCAATATGTGGTCCCATCACAAGGGGCTTTTGTAACGATGTGTCTTATAAAATCCCACCAGATACAGAAAGGAGGTCAGTAAAGATGAAATTTGATCACGATTTGGTGCTTAAACTTTCTTCCTGTCCTCCAGCTCAGATGAAACAGGAAACTGAGTCATAAAACATTACTACAAACAAGCCCAAGGATTTTATCCCAGATTTTCAACCCAAGGATGAGCTGCAATATAACGATCACTGTTTTGTTGGCTGCCTACCACAGAATGATCACTGAGGAAATAAACCAAGCTTTGGATTCACTGTAACTTGGTTTACTGTGGTTCTTTTCTGTATTATTGTTAGGATTGAGAGGTTTAAATGGTAACTGGGTCCAGCAGCAGGGAATCTGTGTGCAGCAGCTAAATCAAGGTGTAGTCAATGTACAAAACACTTTAGCAAACTGGATATCAGTAATTCCCCAGCACCCTAAAACAGTTCCCAAAACAAGAATTTATTGAACTCCTACTACATGCCATAAAGGATTGGAGATACAGCAATAACCAGCATGTAGCCTTCATTGTTTTTGTCATAACCAAGCTTTTAAGAAATGTATCCAAAGTTAAAGGAAATAGGCTGGGCCGGGCATGGTGGCTCACACCTGTAATCCCAGCACTTTGGGAGGCCAAGAGGTCAGGAGTTCGAGACCAGCCTGGCCAACATGGTGAAACCCCCATCTCTACTAAAAATACAAAAGTTAGCTGGGCGTGGCGGTGAGCACCGTAATCCCAGCTACTCGGGAGGCTGCGGCAGGAGAATTGTTTTAACCCAGGAGGCAGAGGTTACAATGAGCCGAGATTGCACCATTGTACTCCAGCCTGGGCGATGGGGCGAGACTGTGTCTCAAAAAAAGAAAGGAAATAGGCTTTGAGATCAGAAGCATTTGAATAAGGTACATTGAACTTACATTGTGACTTGGCCACATTTGAGATGTACAAAAGTGTTTTTAATTCTTGGTTCTCAGTTCTCAAAAGGTAGATAGGAAATGGGTTGTTGCTGTGTTTTAAGTTCACCAGCCTCTGTACATTGATAGCACCACATTAATGGTATTCATTTTAATTTAAAACTACAATTTATAGTCTGTGACTCACTTTTCATTCCTAGCATCCAGTAGGTTTTTTGTTGTTGTTATTTCTAAGTAAATTTCCAAGTCCCTGGTACCATGTATTCAACATACTGAGAAAGAATGAGACTTAGGAAGACCAGAGGTTCTCTTGCTCTCTCACTTGAACAGCTTTTATCTTGGGCAAATCATTTTAATGTGTCTAAGTCTATTGTAATCGTCTATAAAATTATACAAAGCCACCTACTATGGCTGCATCACAGGGTTGTTTGGGGAAGAGCAAGATAATGTATTTTAAAGCACTATGCAAATATTAAGGAAATACACAACTGCAAATATGTGCTAGGTGCTGGGTTTTGAATGGTAGAAATAGGAAGATGAGCAAGAGACAGGAATAATGACAAGTTGCAAACATTTGGGGGCTTTGAGCAGAACCGTAAGTTACTTGGCTTGTCTGGGGTTTAGTCTACCTCCAGGACATAACCAGTAAGGGAGAAGACTAGGGGGAGAGGCACAGGCAGTTGGTTGAAAACCTTGAAGTCTATAAAGTTTGATCTTTGTTCTGCCAGCAGTGGGAGACACTGAAGGACTTTTTGGAGCATTATTATTGTACACATTTTAGAAATATCTGTGGGTCTTGCTGCCTGGTTTCGTTTGAATAGGGAATAAGTCAAATGATTTGGGTTTTGTTTTTTTGATACAGAGTCTCGCTTTGTCATCCAGGCTGGAGGCGTGATCTTCCACTGCAACCTCCGCCTCCCTGGTTCAAGTGGTTCTCGTGCCTCAGCCTCCCGAGTAGCTGGGATTAAAGGCATGCACCACCATGCCAGACTAATTTTTTTATTTTTAGTAGAGACGGGGGTTTCTCCATGTTGGCTAGGCTGGTCTTGAACTCCTGACCTCAAGTGATCCACCTGCCTCAGCCTCCCAAAATGCTGGGATTACAACATAAGCCACCGTGCCCAGCCTGATGGTTTTGTTGTTGTTGTTTTGAGGTGGTTTTTTGCTCTTGTTGCCCAGGCCGGAGTACAATGGCATGATCTCGGCTCACCGCAACCTCCGCCTCCCGGGTTCAAGCAATTGTCCTGCCTCAGCCTCTTGCTAAATGTTTCAATAGTGCCCTTACCTCCAAGAGTGAGTCCACACTCCTTGACTTCAGTCTCATATCAAAGGCATCTTTTAGTAGTTTGGCCTTACTCCGTCTTACCAGCCTGACTCCTTGGTCCTCTATACAGATAAATTGTCACAGCCAGGTAGATTTACTGTGTCACTCAGCAATCCATGCTTACCTTCTAAGGAAATGCCTGCTATCCTCCCCTTAGTCAATAGCTAAAACCTACTTCAGGGTCCCAACTTCTGAACTTACTTATATAAACCCCCTCAACTGCTATTCAGTTCTACTGTATGTCCTTTTCCTTTGTATTTGGATTATATAACTACTATGATATTACTTGTTGTATTAGTCTAGAAACTCTGCTAATAAGCTAGGCTCTAGCTTATCAACTCAACTGACCAGTAGAACACAAGGCCCCACCTAAAGTCAGAGAGCAGTTTCAATAGAGTGTATGTTTAAGGTGGCAAAAAAGTGAAAAAATATATATGGATAGGTTGTGAATAGAAGGAGCAAATGAAACTGGAGGGGCAGAAGAGATTTTAACTTCAATGAGAAGGTGCAAGGATGAGATCCGGGAAAAGGAACACCATTATCTTCTTTTCCCCTAGGACTTAAGCTTTATAAAGATATGCCAACTCTCCCAGCCAGAGATAGTGGCAGATGAGCAAAGAGTCAAAAGAAATGCCGGGAGCCCACAGCAGGTCTGGGCTGCAAAGGGTTATGGATAGTTAGCTGTGCAGCTGCTGAGGAGCGATGATGGAAACAAAGATTGACTGAGTCACCTCTGCTAACAATCCCCGTGGTGCTCTGTGGAAGGTACTGGGCTCTTCCCTGAAGTATCAATACACATGAGATTCATATCATCCACTACAAAAATGTATCATGTTTCCGTCTTTGGATGATAAACTGATTCTGTGTTTATTGAGGACACCATAAATATAGCACTTCATAGACTACGTAGAGCTAGATACCTTCTTAGAAGCCAGCGAAGCCAACTGTCTCATTTCACAATTAAGGAAACTGAAGACAAGATAGGAAATGAATAGCATAAAGTCTCACAGCAAGGACTGCAATGGAGGTCTCTGGATTTCCAGCTCCCTCAACACTGCCTTCCTCTGTTGTGACTGTTTTCTGTTTGGCATGAGTGCTAAGTATATTAACTTGTTGCCTCGGCCATTCAACAAACTTAGAGGACCTTTTAATGTAAGGCACTTGTTGAAGGTAACAAGAAAAGACATAGTCCCTGCCCACCAGAGACCTCAGTCTGGAGAAAAATGTCAGCAAGATTTATCTCTGCAGTACAGAATTTAAAAATCTTTGGCTTTTTTTAAACATGTTTTTATCATTTAATTTTTTGTTTGATAATGTATGTAATTCCTCAAGAAATAAATATTAACAGCCTGGCCAACATGGTGAAACTCTGTCTCTACTAAAAATAGAAAAATTAGCCAGGCGTGGTGGTACATGCCTGTAATCCCAGCTACTTGGGAGGCTTGAGGCAGGAGAATCACTTGAACCTGGGAGACGGAGGTTGCAGTGAGCTGAGATTGTGTCACTGCACTCCAGCCTGGGTGACAGAGTGAGACTCTGTCTCAAAAAACAAAAAATTATTGGAGGTCCGTTTCCAAAACTTTTTCTGATGGGGTGTTCAAGGTTTGAGTTCTACTGGCATAGGTAAGTGCTGTCCTGAGCAAGTTAAAAATGGCTTTTACCCCAAGAACTTTCTATTTAAAATTACCATTCTCCTGGTATATACCAGCAAGCCTCAGTTATTTAACTGTTGTACAGTTGAATAAGGTACTGGTCCCTGGCCTGTTAGGAACCAGGCCGCACAGCAGGAGGTGAGCAGCAGGAGAGCGAGCATTAGCCTGAGCTCCGCCTCCTGTCAGATCAGCAGCATTACATTCTCATAGGAGCAAGAACCCTATTGTGAACTGCATGTGAGGGACATAGGTTGCACACTTATGAGAATCTAATGCCTGATCTGAGTGGAACTGTTTCATCCCAAAATCACCCTCCCAACCCCACCCCATCCGTAGAAAAATCGTCTTCCACGAAACTGATCCCTGGTGCCAAAAAAGGTTGGGGACCACTGGGTAAGAGCATCCAGATGTGTTGAAAGAGGCTTGGCCTGAGGTAGGCAAGCTCTCCATACAGATCTGAGTACCTTTTGTTATTAGGGGATGAAGTTTTAATAACGAGAGCTCACAGGTTATGTCCTCGATGAGAAAAGACTGAGGAAGTGCACCAAAGCTTGATTTCATTGTAAGAGCCCTTTGAGGTTATAGCCCAAGTCTAGACAGTGAAATGGGCAGGAAGGTAGAAGCTCCTCTGTTAATTCCTTTGTGAGCTTCAGGGCTACAAGAGAACATCACACATCATGCAGGGCTAACAAAGCTCTATATTCACTGTATTGTGTGCAAGGCTTCTACTTAGTACAATCCCAGCTGATTTTAGAGTGGAGACAGAATTGCCTCCTCAACTGCCCCCCACCTCCACTCCAGCCCACTTCAAATTTGCAAGTGACATGAAAGCAAAGTACTTCCATAATCAACACAGAGGGGATGACCGGAGCCCTTCTAGTTTGGATTACTTCCTGATGCTTTCCTTCCATCACACCCTCCCCGCCCCGTATGCTTAGTTAGCAGTTGGCGCACACACATAAACACACCCTGTATGCTTAGCAGCTAGCACAAGTCCCTCCTACTTTTACGCTCCCTGCCAAGTGGCTTCAGAATTAGCCAACTGGAATGCTGTTGCCTGGGACTAATCCTGCTCCAGTGCTACAATCCTGGAACATTACAGTTCAAAGTAGTCAAACTTCATAGTGCAGGCGGGGTGAGGATGGGGAGTGGACAGTGATACATACCTCTAAAAGGGGCTCAATTTTTCCCCCTATCTGGCCCTTTGCAGCAGAGTGCAGGGAACAAGCAGGAGGGTGAAGGGAATAGGTGGTGGCAAGTGCTTCTCTCTGGGGCAGTCACTCCACAGGTTGAAGAGGTGGAGAAGACCTTCATTGTTGTTCTGGGACAGGAAGGGGGTGTATGAGGAGCACCAAATCCAAGTAACATTTTCTAGTTAGTTATTACATC